CCCCTCCGAAAAAAGCAAGTGTGCCTTCCTCCCTCATGTTCTTTATCTTTGGGGCAGGAAGAACTAACTTACCTGGGGGAAAAGGCGGGTGGGAGGGATCGGATTCAGATGTTTGAAATGAAAATTTGACGGGACCAAAGTTTTACAATCTAGGACTTTAACCTCCCTAGAATGAATACAGTTGAGATTACTTTTGTTGAATAGCTCTTTTATGTTTGAAGGCCTTAGGACTTGCTTGTTTGTGCTTCTTTCAAGTAAATACACTCAAGTAACAAAAAGTGTTGGGAAACTAGTTAACGCCCCTTTTACAAAGTAACAACCCGATTTAGGTTCTCATAGCTGTTTATGGAGGATAACGTTTCTTCAAAGTGTGCATTTTAAACATTTGCTTTTACCATGTCACTTATTCAGGTGCATTAGGTCTGTGAATAATCAGTTACACTTGTTTTTACTTAGGGATAGTTTCACTTTCTTTTCTGTAATCATTGAATCAAGACTACATTAAGTATTTGGTTTGCAAAGGTTTAAGGCTAATCATTCCGTTTACCTAACTATAATTAAAATTCAAGTGGTATCTTTTTAAAATTTCTTAAAATGGAAATGTTACAACTTGTATTATATGTTTGTGAAGAAGTCGTGTATAAGTTTTTGTGTGTGTGTTGACTTTATTCCTTCAGTGTATGTGGAGGGTGGAGTGACACAATGTTTAGTGATACTCTTTGAAAGAGATTAACATAGCCTGCATCTGCTCTCCATAAAAGAGACATAATCAAGTAAAGGTTCTTAGTCCTGCACCATTTACCCAACTTTGGTCCCTGTTCAGGTTGCTAGAGTCTTTTTAAATTGGTCTCTTGTAACTTTGTATTATCATGAGAAGGTGTTAGGGGAAAGGCTTAACTTTCATTGAAGTAGTTACTTTCACAGTCCTATTTTGAACACTAACTTTCAGAAGCTTTACTTAGAATAAAGACCAGGAGCCACATGAGTCCTAATTGGGTTTTAAGAAAGGCTATCTCTGTAATACACAGAGTTTAGTTTAGGGTATGATTTCATTGGCTGAATATCTAAATGAAGATGATGGATTTGGTTAGTCTTGCCAGAATCAAACAATAACTTACTTACTGATGACTAGAATTGTTTTCCTTAATATTTTTCTTTTAAGCCTACTGTCCCACCTTTCCTAGAAGAATGATAGTTTATTTAGTTGTTTGTTAATCATTGTCTGTGAAGGTCGCTTATCCCAGGAAAACCAAGGGTTTTGCTGTTATTAATGTTATTTCACTAAGGGTCCATTAACCTCTCCTTATTACCCAATTTTGGCTCTCTTCCTTTAACTGTCTCTTCCTTCTTTTCTTTCATCAATACACTTTCTATGTCTTTTGCCTGTAGGATGAAAAAAGTGTAAACTTTATTTGGATAATAGGCTCAGTCTTTCTTGTGAATGAAGATCATTTATCTTTAACTGATTAAATATTCACATATAATTGACTTTTTGTTTTTATGTAACTGTCCCCACATTGTTATGGTTGTACTTCACTTTAATTAAGAATTGTAAATAAGAAGATTGAAGCTTTTAAGAAACATCCTTATTGTGAACTGCAAGCACATGTTGACAGTGTTCACTGAGGTGGCAAGTACATGAGTATTACCCTTTGTACTTTGCAGTAGTGCATATTTAAAGGCCAAATTTTAGACGTACTTCCTCAGTTCAGAGTTTTTAACAGATTAAATGAGATACCTTGTAAATCACTCAGCACAAGCTGGTGCTAAAAGCAAACACTAGTTACTTCCTGTTTGCATGATTTCATTCATTTGTTGAACACATGTTTGGAAAGCTTTCCTTGTGCCAGGTAGGGTGGAGTAAGTTTTTACTGTATGCTGCCATACAGATCAGCACAAGGAGTTTTTTTGATGGGTTTCTGACCCAATCTTGGGGTGAAAAGTGTTGTCAAGGAAGCCCTTTAGGATGGGTTTCTAATCCAGTCTTAGAATGAAAGGGATTGCCGGGGAAAGCATCCCAGAGAAGTGAATTCTAAACCTGAGAATTGAAAGTGTTAACTGGCCAGAGGTAGAAAGATGGAAAATAATAGCTTGCAGGAGCTCAGAGAGAGCAGGAACTAAAAATGGACCCTATAGTGGGATCGTAATGCAGGGAGTATTCCAGAGACAAAGTGTGCCAAGTTCAGATACTGGGAAGAACCATAGGGAGGTCAGTGGAGCACTCCTCAGAGGTTTTCTTCAGGGTGTGACATGTAGATTTGGCTGCCTGCACCTTTCCTAAAAGCACAGACTAGGTTGTATAGTGGCTAGACAACTGCCCAGCTGGGGTGTTTGGCCCTGGCTCTCTGTCCTAGTAACTGACTACTTTGAGTTGCTACTATTGCTCTGTTCTGTAAACCTTGCAGATTTTGACTGGTTCATCATGAAGTTGTAGCAAGTTAATGTATATTCATCAATTAATATGATGCCCAGCACATCACAAAAAGCTCAATTCGTATATTTGAAAATGAGATTCAGAGAGAATTAAATACACATTTATGTTCAAAGTTTGATGTTAGTAAAATTATAGGTTTAATTTTTAGTTATAATCCATTTATATGGGTTTCTTCAGGAAAATGCATTTCACTGATAAGACTTTTCTGTAGCTATAATTTTTCAAAACTTCAAATTTCATACAGTGGTATTTTAGACTACGTTAAAAATCAAAGTTAACTATTCTCTTAATTTAATTGAGATTTTTTTCCCCCAAGAATAGTATATGAATTGAAAATGTAGTCATATATAGTAAAGTGTAGAATGTTCCTAGCTTTAAGCAGTCGAGAAGAAAAAATGTTCTTAGTTAATTATATGATTTTAAATTGAGGTGCCTAATTATAAATTGAAAGATGATTTGGGGGGATATAGTATAGGGTCTTGTATGTCTTGTATTAAACTTTTTTTTTTTTTTTTTTTTTTTTCCCCCCGTTTTTCAAGACAGGGTTTCTCTGTGGCTTTGGAGGCTGACCTGGAACTAGCTCTTGTAGATCAGGCTGGTCTCAAACTCACAGAGATCCACCTGCTTCTGCCTCCCGAGTGCTGGGATTAAAGGCGTGCATCACCAATACCTGGCGTATTAAACTCTTGACCTTCCTGTTTCTACCTCTCCAGTGCTGGGATTACAAGCATGCACCCCTATGCTGGCTTAGTTTATAAGATATGGGAGATGGAACCTGGGCTTAATAGATACAAGGCAAAATCCCTACCTGCTGAACCACCTCTGCCCACTAATGTTTTATATTTGGGTGATTTGTTTGAAGACAGTTTTAAATGGCTAGACACAAATTTCCAAAATAGAGTGGCTGACTAAGTAGACTGCTCTTCTGACCCATTGAAACAAACATACTTTTTGTCTTTTGCAGGGTTGAAAAATGACCATAGTTGACAAAACTGAACCTTCAGACCCGTCAACCTGTCAGAACCAGCCTGGCAGTTCTGAGGCGGTCTCACCTGAAGACATGGACACAGGCTCTGCCAGCTGGGGTGCCGTGTCTTCAATAAGTGATGTTTCAAATCATACACTTTCATTAGGGCCAGTGCCTGGTGCTGTAGTTTATTCTAATTCATCTGTACCTGATAAATCAAAACCATCACCACCGAAGGATCAAGGTACGATTGCAGAATTACTGCCAGGAACTCCTGTGCAAATGCTTCAGAAGGGCAGTGGTTTTCAAGACTAGCACTATTGCATTTCCTCTAGTAAGCATTCATTCTTCCTTCCACCCCCCCACCCCCCACTATTAGCAAGTATCACAAATAGGAGGGTAGATTGAAGTTATTAGAATATGAATGATTTTTTTAAAATTCCCAATTTATTGAAGGAAAAACTTTATCTTGGCCTCAAACTCATTATGTAGCCAAAGCTGGCTTTATTATTTTGTCTTCCTGATTCTCTTGTCTCTACCTCTTGAGTGCTGGAATGACAGGCAGTGCTAGGGAGCAAATGCAGGACCTTTTGTACTTTGTAGAGAAGCATTCTATTAACTGAGCTACATTCCCAGACCCTTTTTATGAAAAAGTATGGGAAAATATAAAGGTAGAATTCTAATGAACTCCCATAGAGCCACCACTGACCCCTCTCTGGGTGTTTGTATATAAGCACATTTGCCTAGGGTGTTGTATGTAATAGGCACACACAGCCTCTTGTCTTTTCCTGGTATTTTAGACAAGTCTAATACTTCACATTGCTTATTGTCTATAAGCATTTTAGTATGTACATCTTAGGAATTCTTTCATAAAAATAAAGCATGTCTGGGACTGGAGAGATGGTTCAGCAGTTAAATGTGCCAACACTTCTAGAGCAGGACCTGAGTTCACCTTCTGTCACTCCCTATCAAGTGAATCACTACTTGTGACTTCAAGTCCAGGGGGTCTTACACCCTCTTGTGGCCTTCATGGCTACCAGTACTTGTGTGTGCACACATGGGAACACACATACAAATATAAATAAATCCAGTCGGTATTTGTTTAAATTAGTTGAAATGAAGTCTACACATTAAGTGAATTTATATCTCTTAAGAGGGGAGTTAATCTCACCACAGGCTCTGGACTTCTTTGTGACTTTTTCCTTGGTGTTTGTAGCAGGCAGGTAATAAAGTGTAGGATCTTGATCAGAACTAGGCATTGCTGTGTGTTTTGCTTGTGACCTATACAAAGCTTTGTTTATTTTTTTTTTAATTTTTTGCTTTTTTTTTTTTTTTTAAGTCCTAGGTGATGGCATTGCTCCTCCTCAAAAGGTTCTATTTCCATCTGAAAAGATTTGTCTTAAGTGGCAACAAAGTCATCGAGTTGGCGCTGGGCTCCAGAATTTGGGCAATACCTGTTTTGCCAATGCCGCATTGCAGTGTTTGACCTACACACCACCCCTCGCCAATTATATGTTGTCCCATGAACACTCCAAGACATGTGAGTGCTGTGTGCTCTTGTTTGTGTGTTTTCAGTGCTTTGGTTTGCTTCCCTACTGCTGTCTTCCTCTGAAACAAAGTATTTAGTGAAATTACATGATCAGGGGCATGGTATTTAGCTCAGTGGTAGTGTGCTCACTTAGCATGCACAGGCCCTTGGTTTAATCCTCAATTTGTAATAAAAAAAAAATAAGAAACCAAGTTATATGATCACTGGGAAATTGGTTTGCTGGTTCAGAAACCAGGGTGGGGTGGGGGGTACTCAGGGTTGGTGTTTGGGTTGCATAAGGAGCTTTTCACACCTAGTTTCATCTGTTAAGTATTTAAAAAGAAGCTTATTTTGTCAGCATTTGACATTTCAAAACCTCCTAGTTTTTTGGGGGGTGGGATGTCCTACTATTAGCTCTGCCAGCCTTAAAATCAAGACAAACATCTTCCTCATCCTCCGAAGTGCTGAGGTTAGAGGTGTGGGCTGGCATTCCTGGGTGTTTTTTTTTTTTTTTTTAAGATTTCTTTTAACTCAGTAGAAGCCCAGCTCATGGTTGACAAGTAAAATTTGGAATTAAGTCTTTTAGTTTGGAGGTTTTGACTGCTGTCCCCATCCCTCTCCACAGCTTTTCACCACAAGTTGTCTTCTGCCCTCCACACACTGGCATGTGCATCCAAATACAGACATACACTATAAATAAAATGTAAAAAAAAAAAAAAATACCTAGTCTGAGGTCAGAGGTATTTTTGTTTTCTTGTGGACATTGTCTACTTTTTATTTGGGCCAGTGATTCCTTAGTTAATTTCTGTTTGTGATATGAAGATTTTTTTTTTCTTCTTTCAGTGCTGGCGATTGATCTCAGGGCCTCACACATGCTAAGCAAGTGCTTGCCACTGTGCTTCACAGGCCCCTGCTATTGTCGTTGTTCATAGTGTAGCCTTATCCACTGAAACATCTGGCACCTTCAGCTTGCGTTTCTGCTGCTTGATAGACATCTGACTTTGGGCACATTCCTTCTCTTATCCTTAAAGTAGTTAATATATACTTATCACCCAGGCTTTCTAGATTCATTAATGAAAATTCATGATAGTAGCAAGCTCAGTGCACGCACATGGTAGCTGGCACTGTTGCTGCGTCCTGGGCATCTGCCTCCCGTTTCCGGTCTATCTTCCTGTTGCATATTGTCACATATTTCTCATTTGGGTTCTAATTATCTTGCAGGCCATGCAGAAGGATTTTGTATGATGTGCATAATGCAAACACACATTACCCAGGCACTCAGCAACCCTGGAGACGTTATCAAGCCGATGTTCGTCATCAACGAAATGCGGCGTAAGTTTCAGCTGCAGTAGCTCATGTCCGTATTCCATGTCTGGTTATTTGTTATCATCCATATCTCCTCTTTTTGTTTTTGCATTTTGAGATAGGGGCTCACACTGTAGTCCAGGCTAGCCCCAGACTCAGGGCATTCTTCTTGCATCATCTTCCCAAGAGCTGAGATTGCAGGTGTGCAACACCATTCAGGGCTTGTATGCAGTTTTCTTACACATATCATGCTTTTTGAGGTAGGGTCTCCTGTGTCCCAGCCTGGCCTTGAACTTGATATGTGGCCAGGGATGTCGCTGAACTCCTGATTTCCACATCCCAAGTACTAGAGCGTATGCATGTGCCATCACACCCAGCTTATCAGTGCCCTTTTTGAACTATACATTTTTATCTTTTTCATTTTTTTCTTTTTTTTTTTTTTTTTTTTTTGTTTTTGAGACAGGGTTTCTGTGTATTGCTTTGGAGCCTGTCCTGGCACTCATTCTGTAGACCAGCCTGGCCTCGAACTCACAGAAATCCGCCTGCCTCTGCCTCCCGAGTACTGGGACTAAAGGCGTGCGCCACCACCGCCTGGCCCTTTTTATCATTTTACTTAGCCAAGTTGTAATAAAAATGAATACAAAACTCATTCAGGCTTCTGGCTGGGTAATTAAGGAAGTATATGGTTATGAGTGACAAGCTATAATCCTTTTGCCTCATAAGCTGTTAAGAGATGTTAAGAGATGATCTGGATGTGGTGATGTGTATTTGTGATCCCAGCACTTGGGAACTGAAGTCAGGAGGATCGGGAGTTCAAGGTCAGCTTCAGTTATGTGGAGAGTTTGAGGCCCACCTGATATACATATGACTCAGCCTCAAAATACAAGTCATTCAGGGATTTTTTCCAGGCACATAGCACAGGGTGTAGCTTTAGGGGTGTCACCATGGCACAGGGGATGTAATAATAAGGCCTTGTCTTCAAATCTTATAGGTATAGCCAGACACTTCCGTTTTGGAAACCAAGAAGATGCCCACGAATTTCTTCAGTACACAGTTGATGCCATGCAGAAAGCATGTTTAAATGGCAGCAATAAGTAAGTACAGCAGAGTCAATGTTGTTTCATCAGGTCATGCTGTCAGCCTGTCTCCTGGAAGACACAGATCTGAATGTAAGGAAATGGACTTTTGTAGCCATTTGAGTTTGTTGATCTTCCATGTTGGGCAACAGACTTGCTGCTGATCAGTTTCTACATCAGCATCTAGTCACTTTTCCTGTTTAGCCGTGCCTAATGCTTTCCTTGTTCATCTTCAGACACAGAACTCTGCCCCCCCCCCCTCGAGTTATCAATTTTGTAGCTTCTTAAAACCCAAATGCAGACTCAGGAAGACTAGGATGAAAGGTCCTAACCCACCCACTGTGTTGTGGACACCTGCACATGTCCCTCTTTGCTCTCATTATCTCAAGTCTTCAGGATTGGTCTGGGTGACCATTAGTGCTGAGCTGAGGGCGGTAGTCAGCCTTCAGGTCCTAGCAGGTCCTTGCATCCTCTTCACCAACTTCTCACAGTGGGCTAGTTTCCCGATGCCACTCATTCTGCTGGAATGGTTCTTTTTGACTCTCCTCTGAGTTCTTGTTCCTTTATAAACATAGATGCTTTTAAAGTCTGAGCACAGTATTTGCCAAGCTCTCCTCTCATGTCTCTATTTGGATGTTTTTCAGATTAGATAGACACACCCAAGCTACCACCCTGGTCTGCCAGATATTTGGAGGATACCTAAGATCTCGAGGTAAACTTTGCTTGAAGACTCATCGTAACATACATGCTTATGGTTTTAAAATGTGAACAATAATAATAAAAAGTAGATCTCAGGTCTGCCCACACTTGTACTTACAGTATATCCTTTTGGTACTTGATTATGTACAAACACACTGGGAGCATACTGTGCATAAGATCTTTGTATTTCTCTTAACTGAAGTCAGAGTTCCATTCATTTCCTGTTGAGGGATAAGTGAGTTTCTGTTTTGATGGTATTAGTATCAGTACACTATAGAGCATTCATAATCAGATACCTTCATTTGTGCAAATGATTGTGCAAATGCTTGTGCAGGGTAAAGTCTTCTAATTTCTGGATCATATGGTATTTAGAGGTTCTAGCAATTTATATTTCAGCCAGTGGCTTACAGGGGATAGGTTTATGGCACTTCTACCACAGTGTGTAGGATTCCCTTACAGGCTTTTCACTCATTGTAATAAAAGTTGTAGTTAGTAAGGCAAGAACTTACTGTTCATATTTTCTTTTGTTTCAGTCAAATGTTTAAATTGCAAGGGTGTTTCAGATACCTTTGATCCATATCTGGACATAACATTGGAGATTAAGGTGAGCTCAACAGTTAATGGTAGTGAAGTTAAACATCCTTTCATAGCCTTGGACTTTTTATGCTCATATCAGACAAACATAGATGGTTATTACTCTGAGAAACTTTAACTATTGACTTCTTCACACTCCTGTTTGTTGTTTGGAGCTTTTTTCTGATTAAAGATGCAGTTCTGTGCTTATTAAACAAAGGAAAAATATTGCATAGAAATGCAAAGCCTGCCTCTCAGAATTCATTCTTTAGTGGCGTCATGTACATTGTTCCACAATAGATTCCTTGCTAAATGTGTGTGTATCTGTGTGAGTGTATGTTGTGTGTATGTGGGAGTGCCTGCAGAGGCCAGAATGGGGCATTGTATCCCCTGGAGCCTGTGCGGATGCTGGGAACTGAACTCTGGGTCTTCTGGAAGAGCAGCAGGCACTCTTAACCTCTGAACCATCTCTCAAGCCCTAACTTGCTTTCTGTTTATGAAGATGGGTTTATGATTATACCTTAGCCTGTCTGCTGTTTTCATTTTATTCTGCTTGGAAGCCTTGCTCTCCAGGCAGTTGTATGTATGGTAGGTCTAGTAACTCCTCAGTTTACATGCCTGGTTCTTGTTGTTTTCATTTTTATGTTAGTATAAGTCAAACTGCAGTCTACTTTTGTTCTGTTTAATCGTCTTGTTTTTAAAATGGGGCGGGGGGCATAATTTTTTGAGTAGATATATAAAAGTAGATACATCATAAACAGTCACAGAAAATTATATAAACATATCCTATTGCTCAGCTCCTGGCAGTGTGCATGATGACATGGTGTTTATGCCCTTTTCCTAGGCTGCTCAAAGTGTTACCAAGGCATTAGAGCAGTTTGTGAAGCCAGAACAACTGGATGGAGAAAACTCCTACAAATGCAGCAAGTATGACTGGGTGGTGTGTTTTGGGAGAGGGCTTTGCTTTCCTGAGATTATTCCAGTTTAGAATTGACTCAGTTTTAAATGCTTTTTACATGATTTTCTTTTTCCTTGTCCTTTTGTTTGGGGTATTGGGTGTGGAGTCCAGAGTTTCACATGTGCTAAGCAAGTGCCCTACTGTGGAGCTATATTCTAACCCAAGTTAGCCATTTAATGTTATCAGTTATTGAGTGTTTTGAATTATCTTTTTTGCTTTTAAATTTTTTTTTTTTTTTTTAAGACAGGGTTTCTCTGTGTAGCTCTTTTTTGGAGCCTGTCCTGGAACTCACTCTGTAGAGGAGGTTGGCCTCGAACTCACAGAGATCCTCCTACCTCTGTGTCCAAGTGCTGGGATTAAAGGCATGTGCCACCACTGCCTGGCAACTTGTCTTTTTTAAAGGTGGGATGTTTTATGTGGCCCAGTCTGGCTTTTGAATGTTAATGTTCCTGAACAATCAGTTTATTTATCTTCCACATTGTTAGGCAGTTCCCTCCATTATTATTACTACTGTGTGTATGTGGTGTTACGGAGGATTGAACCTGGGGCTTTCTGCATACTAGGCAAGTGCTCAACCACTCATCCACACCCCCCAGCCCTCCTGGAATTTCTAATTTTACTGTTTTGACTGTTGGTTTAAAGAAATGGTTTGTTGTTGTTTTTGGTTTCTTTGTTTTAAAATACTAACTTAGGGTGTTTTAGAAAAACAACAAAACACTGAAGTATCTGCACTAAACTCCCCAACGCTTCCTCCCTTTATGTTTCAAGGTGCAAAAAAATGGTTCCAGCTTCAAAGAGATTCACCATCCATAGGTCTTCTAATGTCCTCACCATTTCACTCAAGCGCTTTGCCAACTTCACTGGCGGAAAAATTGCTAAGGTATATACATAATTTGTGATTTTTTTTCATCACTGTACATTGAATTTCCCCCTTTTCTTCCCAATTAATGGTGAAAGTGACCAAGATACAGCAATGTGCAAGAGATACAACACATGTCTTGAGTCACTTAAAATAAGTCATGAATGACATCTGGAGTTGTCACTGTTATTTGTTGAAGATTCATAGCATGTATCCTTCCCTTATTTATGGCAAATAAAAACAACGGGATTACCCTCAGCTCTCTTTTATTCCATGCATTGGATTTCTGGGGTTAAGGGTTGTAGGTACTACAAGTCCTTTCCTCAAACGCTCTCCTTAGATGTATACCATTAGCTAAAAATATGGACCACTTGTGTATTTAGAAGTGACAGCCCTAACTGTTTCCATTTATTTTTAGGATGTGAAATATCCTGAGTACCTTGATATTCGGCCCTATATGTCTCAGCCCAATGGGGAACCAATTATTTATGTTTTGTATGCTGTGCTGGTGCACACTGGTTTTAACTGTCATGCTGGCCACTACTTTTGCTACATAAAGGTAAGCTGCAGGGTGGCTACTAAGTCTCCTGTGGGACAGCACTGGATTCATGGGGCCAACAGTGGGACTTTTACAATTAGCTGTGATGGTTTGTTTGTTTGTTTGTTTGTTTTTGTTGGTTTTGCTGTGCTCCTTGACATCTGACTAAATTCAGCCTCTCTTTGTGGTTTCTTTGGCAGGCTAGCAATGGCCTCTGGTATCAGATGAATGACTCCATCGTGTCCACCAGTGATATCAGATCGGTGCTTAACCAGCAAGCTTATGTGCTCTTTTATATCAGGTATTGACTTGAAAACAAGCTGTTGGTTTTGCTAGTGTGCCAACTTCTCTTCCCCTCATGAGCATAGTTAATTTTGAGCTGCTTTTTAAAAACAGCAAGTTAAAGATGAATTGCCATGTGCCCGAGCATGAGGTTTTTCTGAGTATAAGAATTGAGTTTGCTGTTGCTTCTCGCTCACTGACAAGTGTAGAAAGAGGGAACAGTAGCCCTAAGGAGACAACTGAGTGGCCTGGGGACTGTGGAGGCCACGGGAAGGGGACTCTGTGCTCTCAGCCAGTACCTCCCCAGCTTGAACACAGGCCTCCAGTCAGACCCTGCCAGCATTCGTGGCCACTCTGTTATAGCTGCAGGCTCGTAACTCACCAGTTCTAGTTTTGGAGAAATCTGATACTTGGCTCCACGTTGTCTCCTCTCTTTGTAAGGTACTTGGGGTATAACCCTGGGTCTCAAACATGCTAGCCAGGCCTTCTGTCAGCCACATTTCTCACCCCAGAAAGTATCCCCAGATATTCAACCATGACAGAATGGTCATATCCACTTGTTGAGGTACTTATTACCTCAACTCAATGTTAAGAGTAATTGGTTTGTTTTGGGAGTTGGGGGAGATCAGGATTTCACTGTATTATGCAAGCAGACCTTGATTTTTTTTTTTTTTTTTATCTTTCTGCTGAGAGTGATTTTCATAAAGCCTTTTTTGTTTTTAAATGCTCTGGGAAAGCACTGGATGTATATGGGGGGGAGGAACAGTTTGAAATAGCAAATGCAGGTAGTGAAAAGAGCAGTATGGGCAAAAAGCCTGGGAAATAATCTAAATCAGAACCTGTATGTGGAGTCCATGACAGTTCTCTAAGAAACTGTTGTAATATAGTTTCTATAATGGTATATATTTAGAATGGAAAACATAAACAGAAAAATAGTTTTTCAGATAGCAAAACTATCAGAATATACACTTTAAAACATTGAGCGTCAGGCATAGAGGCTCATGCTTGTAATCCCAGTACTCAGGCTCAGGCAGGAGGATTGCCCTAAGTTTGAGGCCAGCCAAAACTACGCAAGTGATTTCCAAGCCATCCAGAGTGTTAGAATGAGACCATGTCTCCAAAACAATAGCAAAAAGACAAAAACTAGCAATAATAACAAAAAACCCAAACTAAAACCAGTATTTCATTGACACAGTTGGTGCTGGGTATGGTGGTGCATACCTTTAATCCCAGCAGGCAAAGGCAGAAGCAGGTGGATCTCAGTATGTTTGAGGCCAGCCTAGTCTACATACCCAGTTTCAAGATAACCAGGGCCATGTAATGTGTTTTAGGGGGAAGTGGGGTAGGGGTAGGGCTCATGGAGTCAGTTCCTTGTATACTGCCTCAGCACTCAGCACTGACAGCCTAATGGAGGTGATATGTATAACTCTGTCCATGAGACATGGAAGCTCCATTTCCCATTCCTGTTGGGTTTGTAAATACATCTAAGGAGATGTCCTTCCTCATAAAAGGCATTTCATTCTTTGTCCCCAGGTCACATGATGTGAAAAATGGAGGGGAACCTGCTCATCCTACCCATAGCCCAGGCCAGTCCTCTCCCCGCCCAGGAATCAGTCAACGTGTTGTCAACAACAAGCAGGCAGCACCAGGGTTTATTGGACCCCAACTGCCTTCCCATGTCATGAAGGTAAAGCTTCAGTCCCAAACCTGGCATCACTGTAGCAGTTGCCTCATCTACTGAACTTCCTGCCTGGGTCACTGCAGCCTTTCATTACAAAAGGCCTCAGGATATGTGTGCATGTGTGGGTGATCCAGTGGCTGCTTAGGGAGTGTGTAGAATACCCCTCTTCCATTCCCATACTCCTTGTGGGTAGATGTTTGTGTTTATTTTTGTTTATTTGTTTGTCTGCTTTTTAATTATTTATGTATACAGTAGTCTGTCTGCCTATATGCCTGCAGGCCAGAAGAGGGCACCAGATCTCATTCCAGATGGTTGTGAGCCACCATGTGGTTGCTGGGATTTGAACTCAGGACCTCTGGAAGAACAGCCAGTGCTCTTAACCTCTGAGCCATCTCCCCAGTCTGATGTTTGTGTTCTTAATTAAAGTTGGATTCAGGGAAGTGAAACTCTTTCAGGAACACGTTGTTCGTGTTCATGGTCCATCGTAGTGTGGCAGTGTGAAAGGGGTTTGCTTGTACACAGATAACAGAATTGTGTGTATTTCTGCAGAGCTCAGGCTTGTCAGTTACCAAGACTAAAATGAGAAGGGCCCTAACCACTGTGTACTCTGTGTCTAGAATAGTAATCCAGCTGTTCTGTTCCTCCTTGTAGAATACACCACACTTGAATGGCACCACGCCAGTGAAAGACACGCCAAGTAGTTCCATGTCAAGTCCTAATGGAAACACCAGCGTCAATAGGGCCAGTCCTGTTGTTAATGCTTCAACTTCTGTGCAAAACTGGTCTGTCAACAGGCCCTCAGTTATTCCAGAGCACCCCAAGAAACAGAAAATTACCATCAGTATTCACAACAAGTTGCCTGTTCGCCAGGGTCAGGCACAGCTGAATAACAACCTCCATGGCCCTTCTTTGGAGGCCCCTAGCAAGGCAGCACCCTCTTCTACCATCACTAACCCTTCTGCAATACAGTCTACCTCGAATGCACCCATGACATCAGTTTCTAATAAAGTAGCAAAATCAGTTTCCCCCAGTGAATCCTGTTCCAAGCCCATGGTGAATGGCAAGGCTAAGGTGAGCTCCAGTGTGCTGGTTCCCTATGGGGCTGAGTCCTCAGAAGAGTCTGATGAGGAGTCAAAGGGCCTGGCCAAGGAGAATGGTGTAGACATGATGGCCAGCACTCCCTGTGCCAGGCCAGAAGCTGAAGATGCGGATGGTGAGGCTTCCCCACAAGAGCTTCAAGAATCCGTCACGCTAAATGGTGCTAATAGCGCAGACAGTGACTTGAGAGAGAATGGCGTGGCATTTGATAGTGCCAGCTGCCAGGTCCAGCCCGATCTACACACAGAAAACCTCTTTTCCAAACTTAATGGTCTTCCTGGAAAGGTGAGCAGCAGCAAATCTCATAGCTCACTTAGATGAATTTTATTAGGCATGGAGCTGAAGTATCTTTGTTTCATTGTAGGTGACACCTGCTCCTTTACAGACTGTTCCAGAAGATAGAATCCTAGAGACCTTCAAGCTTACCAACCAGGCCAAGGGCCCATCGGGTGAAGAGAGGTAGGAGCATGTCAGTGAGTGTGCCAGTGTGAGTGAGCACATGAGGAGAATAAAATACCAGTCTGGTTCGAGCCCTTGATGGGCTCAGCTGACATTCCCTCCTGCACACCCTCTTGCAGGTGCAGTGGTATTCCTGAAAACATAGTTTTCACGTTGAGACTGACCTCCAATTCCCTATGTAGCTGAAAATAGCCTTGAATTCTCGGTCCTCCTGAGTGCTGGATGTCAGGTGTGCAATTGCACACCTGCTGTCTGCAGTGCTGAGAACAGCCCAGGGTTAGTGCATGCTGGCGACATTGCCGACTGCCACAGCCTTTACCCCCTAGACTTTTTTAGATAGGTTCTCACTATGTAGTTCAAGCTGGCCTGGAACTTACTGTGTACATCAGGCTGGTTTCAAATTCTTGCCCAGTTTCCCATTGCTGGGGTTACAAGTATGTGTAGCCACCATTCCCGTCTACACTTAGCTCTTGAGACATGTTAGACATTTACCTGACAGTGTGATGTGTCCAGAACTGCAGCATTGTGAAAATAGGAGGTTGTCCTGATACACATTTTATTTTTATTTAATTAGGGAAAAGAAAAACTTGGTTTTCAGTAATGATAAGCTTGATACTACATTTCATCAAATATGCTTAAAGTGTAGGCTGTTGAGTAGAACTGTCTAGCAGTCAGTCCTGTGTGGTGGTCAGGCTAACCATCACTTTGTTTGTTTTGCTGCGGCTGTAGTTGGACTACAACAGGGGAAAGCCCCCCAAAGGACCCTGTTTCACAGCTGGAACCCATCAGTGATGAGACTGGTCCCCTTGAGACACCGGAGGCAGTCACCAATGGGAACATGAAGACCCCTACAACCATGTCACCCCTGGAGCCCACCATCAACTGTACCAAAGAAGACTCCTCCATTGTTGTTCCAGCTAACCCTGTGGAGGCTCTGCCCTCTGTCACTGCTCTTTGTGACACCACCGGTACTACCTTGGGAGATGCCCCACTGCCTGAATTGTGTGACCCTGATGACTTGATTACTAACCAGAGCCAGCCAACCCAAGTAGTGAAAGAGGAAATAGCTGAGAACCCACAGCAGGACTCCACCTTGGCTGAAGCAGTGGAGAGGCTGAGCCCAGCTCCCTCAGTGCTTACAGGTGATGGGTGTGAGCAAAAACTCTTCCTTTACCTCAGCACAGAGGGGTCCGAGGAGGCAGAGGACTCTTCCAGAAGCTCGGGCATCTCTGCAGACCCAATGCCTCCTCAGCCTGACAGGACCACTAGCTCTTGTGAAGGGGCTGCTGAGCAGGTGACAGGGGAGAGAGGTGACGGAAGCAAGGTGGTACCCAAAGTTCAGGAGCCTTCCCCAGCCAAGGAAAAGGTGAGCAGCCTCCGGAAAGTGGATAGAGGACACTATCGAAGCCGGAGAGAGCGTTCCTCCAGTGGGGAGCCTGCGAGGGATGGCAGGGCCCGGAC